TATCGTTTCCTCTAACATCTCTCAAGTTTATAAAATAATAACAACAAATTTTTCAGTAAATATTTGTGTATGTTAATACGTAATGGTGCGCTCACAAGTACTTTATCACCACATGATCTTGCTTCTTGTGAACTGCGCTGAAGAACAAGCATATTGCGAACGTTTGTTTTGCCTCAAAGGTAACCGACCTCAGCATGATCACGCAATTGGAATAGGTTACTAAACAGTAGTATCTTAATAAACGGACAACAGAGTGCGCTAGTAGCGTTGAGTATTTCGTATTCCTCGTGTTGGCTTACGTTGACAGCTGGATTGTACGAGATACTGTAAAGTGTGGTGTGTGAGGTAAACTTGAACCTTCCAGAGCATTGAAATACAATTTGACGTTCAAAAAAAGAAATTAACTCTCTAGACATGGATGATGGACCAGGGGATCTACAGTTTTCTCCCGACCTTCTACTGCAGATGTGAGTATTTCTATTATAGCAGAAGATAAAGATGTTGTTTTGATCAAGGTGAAATGTTAAGGTCTTAGTGCTTTTAGGTCACATTATTCATTTTTCAGTCTTGATCTTTGAAAGTTCAAACTTCATTTGTTAAATATGGTGCTACTCAACAAAATTTTATAATTGTTAGCACATTAGAAAAGTTTACAGGAAGTTTGTGAAAATTCTGAGATACTCACAGCGCAAGATGACCGAGCACAGGTTAATTCTTTCACAGACACCTTCATAGGTAGATAACTCTACCAGTGCCAGATTTGTTTTTAGGTACACAATAAAAACTAAAATACATTAATTATCTGAAACTTATATTGTTGTTGTTGTTTGTAATTAAGCACAAAGCTACACAATGGGCTATCTGTGCTCTGCCCACCACGGGTATCGAAACCCGGATTCTAGCGTTGTAAGTCCGCAGATACACCGGGGGGGGGGAGGCTTGAAACTTGTAACTGGCAAACTTTGGGAAATATTCATATGAATGGAAATAATTTTTCTTCATGGTGTTAAAAACTTCAAACTCCCATGTAAGTTATCTAGAGGGGAGGGACACACAGGTGTCTATAACATTGAAACAGTTAAAAGGATAGCTTTCTTTGTTCTCAAACTCACATTTCACATTTTTCAACTTAGCTTTCACCCACTTGGCAGTTTTAACTCATCTGTGTTCTGAAGTTTTCATAATAGCTGAACATGTCTACTAATATATTTTTGTTCAGAAACTGTCTCACTTAACGGAGGCTTTCTACACGTCTTTGTTTATGGTTTGTTTCACTTAATCAAGTCTTTCTAAACATATTTGTTCAGAGACTGGCTCACTTATCTGAGCCCTTCTATACATCTTTGTTCTTAGATTGTCCCACTTAGCCATGTTTTTCTACATATGTTTTTCTGTGACTGTCCCACTTAGCCGAGACTTTTTGAACATCATTATTTTGAGAGTACCTCACACAGCCAATCTTCAGTCTCTACACATATTAGCTTTAAGAATACTTCACACATTCGAATATGCAAATTTTACACATGTTTGTTCTGAGAGTGTCTCACATTGTCTAGTCTTTTTACATATGTTTGTTCTGAGAGTGTCTCACATTGCCAAGTCTTTCTACATATGTTTGTTCTGAGAGTGTCTCACATTGCCTAGTATTTATACATATGTTTGTTCTGAGAGTGTCTCACATTGCCAAGTCTTTCTACATATGTTTGCCCTGAGAGTGTCTCACATTGCCAAGTCTTTCTACACATTTTTGTTCTGATAATATCACGTTTGTGATAATCTTTCTGCCTTTTCACTAACTGTTATGGTTGATATTTCCATATGTTGTATTCGGAGACCGTCCCTTTTGGCAGAGTTTGTCTCTAAACACTGTTGTATTTGGCAGAATCTTTATACATTCTGTGTTCCTTAAACTGTTCAAGTTAATAGAACTTCGCTTTCTTGTTGTTTTTGTTTATTTAGACTGCTCAATTTCGCACACACTCTTTACTTGTCGTTTTGTAACTGTCACAGTTGACAAAATCTTTCTTCTTTGGTTTCGAGATTATCACAGGTTACTTATCGAAAACATTTGTACATAGTTTAGGAAAAAGCTTAAGGGTCAATTTTACAAAGAGTTGACTCTACTTACATCACTGATAATACTGGTACTTTGAATGAAAAATATCTCTTCTTGAAGGAGTTCCCAAATGCATACTGTGAAACCGCCTAAAATTACGTCTTTAATTGTTGTATTATCAAGTCGGTAGACAGCTGTTATATTTGGTTATTTCTATTGGTAGGTTAACAGAACAATCACGTTTCGTTGGTTCACGCATACAGGAATTTTTTGTTAATGAATATAGCAACAGTGATAACTTCATAAGTTTGTGTTGCTACAAGTTTCACAGAGAAAACGAATTACTTGTGTATTTCTGTTTTCAGTGTACATATACATGAAAAATGTAATGTTTGCATATTTCTCTAGGTAGGATAAGTTAGCAATTCTAATTACAATATAACTATATTGGCAGGTAAATATAGCAGCTATATTGGTTTGGGCTTTATGTCTGTATTTATAGTAAACCAGTAAATATATATCCGTCTTTGAAGGTTTGTTGTAAAGCACAAAGTTACTCTATGGATTATATGTGCTCTGCGTGTCACGAGTATTGAAACCCAGTTTTTGTTTTGGCGTTATAAGCCTGCCGAATTAATCGGGGAGTTTCTCTGAAGGTAAATACATCAAGTGTAATGGTTGTTTTCATTGTTAGAAGCATACCTGTTTCTATATTCATACTAACTTTTAAATAGCTACATTTTTCTAATTCTAGCCAACATACAGTTGTAGCGAGTTTATAGATCTAGTGTTTTCCAGTTCTCCCGTGAATATGAGACGTAACTCATTTTGCCAGCAGGTAGATATTTCAGTTTCATAATAGCTATTCATTAAAAAATGTTAAGACAAATACGAATTAACCTTTAGTTTCACTTAATTCTGTTAGAAACCAGCTGGAATTTTTTATATATATATATACAATTTGAAGAAAATGTTTAAAGGTTTCAGAAGAGAAACTTGTTTTAGGTCCGATTGAATACTTCTCTTTTATATATTGAATACTATTTCCCGTAATATAACTACTTACCCTTTAGCGAGAAACAAAATTACATCGCATTATGTTATGATAGCATCTCTGGGTGTTTGATGTCTAGATCTTGTGTCTCTCTGTCATTACTTGTTATCAGGTAGTATTTCTAATTTTATACGTGTAACGCCACTACGTTTACATTACATGCAAAAAGGATTGCAATTTGTACACCTAAATTGAATGGCCTCGTGCAACAACCGTATTGATTTTTTCTTACTAACTTGCATAAAGACACAAGTTGTTCGTTTTAAGCTGTATCATTCTTCTTTCGTACCCGGCTCCTTCTTTGTCTAAATATATTATTAGAACGTCATATTAATTAAGGGTAAACGATTACTACTCACGAAGCAACATGTACTGCTCAAGCGATAACGGTATACAACACTCACTTGTTTCTATGACAACATATAGAAGCCAGTGGCCACCTGGTAATTTTTAGAGACACCCCATTTTTATAAAATTACGTTTGATTAGTGTATAAATAACAAAAGTGTCCATCAAAACGTTTAACGTGCGTAGTTCTTTTAATCCGGAAGATAATTGTATTTTTATTTTTGTGTGTTATTTGAAGCATCAATGATGCTTATTGCTTCTTTATAATTACCATTAAATCTTCAGAGATGACACGAATTATAACTTCAGCTTCGCATGGAAGGTTATTTTCAGACAAAGATATGCGAATCTAACAGGCCTTCAACCACCAGTTATTAAAACGTATCGTAAGCAAATCAAATCATAGAACACATTTTTCACATGTATGTTACGACACACATTCCAGTGTTTCGAAAGAAACGAGAGACTTCAATATACGACATTTACTTACTGAAGTAAACTATTTATCTTTCAAATAACAGTAAAGAATGTCTGTTACTGGCCATATCATACGTTCCACGTGTGTGGCATTTTTTGTATTACTGTGTAAATAACTTGACTGAGTAGTTTCGCCTGTATAACTTTTTTGCAAACTCTCTTATCAATGGAATCTGTGTGTAGTAGTTGTCTTTGCCTGAAGCTTTAACACAGATGTTTCGTATTAAAAGTTTCAATAACAGCACTTGCAAAAATTAAACTATAAGGAAAACTGAGTTTTGCAAACTCTCTTATCAATGGAATCTGTGTGTAGTAGTTGTCTTTGCCTGAAGCTTTAACACAGATGTTTCGTATTAAAAGTTTCAATAATAGCACTTGCAAAAATTAAACTATAAGTAAAACGGAGTTTACAATGTTTCGTTTAAAGAATGAGTTTCTATACAGCATAGAAATAAGACAATTTCGAGGTTTTCCTGTTGCATTTTGAATTAAAAAATGGTATGACTTATTCCTTTGGTCTTATTGAGCTTTTCTTTGCGTTGGGTAGTTTTAACTACACCAGTATGTTATCTCAAATTTTACAATTTTTCTCATCTTTTGAAATAAAAATTATTTTGGAAGCATGTCTTCACTCTAAATATTCACTTCGTATTCAGGGGAATAATTATTGGATTCGTTTTATTTTTATGATGCATTCAGAATATAGATACGTATATATTTTTTGCAGTCATGCACATATGATCAACTTACAGATTTTTTTTACCTAATATTTTGTGTCTGTGAATGATTTTTGCAACATAAGTAAAGGTTTTAAGTGTTTTTCTTCTTTATAATAATGCTCTTCCAGTGGCACAGCGGTATGTCTGTGGACTTATAACGCTAGAAACCAGGTTTCGATACCCGTGGTGGGCAGAGCACAGATAGCTTATTGTGTAGTTTTGTGTCTAATTACAAACAAACAAAGAAACTCTATAATAATGTAGTATTTCAAGCAAGACTGATTCCATTCAGAGCGACAAGACTTGCAGTTCACAGTGGGCCGATCAAGATCAGCAACTTGACAACATGTTCATTCCTGGTCCACAGAAAGCCGATCATTATCAACCACTTGACAACATGCTCACTTCTGGTCTACAGTTGGCCGACCATTATCAACGACTTAACATTGTGCTCACCTCTGGCTTACTTGTGAGTCGATCAGATACATGTTAACAAATTTACATATACACAAATTTATATCGGTTCCGCAATACGCTACCTGGTGGTTTGAATCAAGTAACATCTTAAGCCGAACGAAGAAAATAATTTTATTATTTACATACACTTCAATAACGTGTAACACAACACGTAAAGACTTCAGTATTCTCTGCTCAGCAGAGAACGAACCTTGCGAAGAAATGAGGCTTTGTTAACCAGACATTAGGAACCAAGTCTTAAATTTACCTCTTCGTCTTTTCCAATATACTTAAAATTATACGTATTCTTTGTGATGAAAGTGGGACAAGATACTCACTTAACTCCACTACCAATCAAGTAAAAATAAGTTCTTGAAGGTAATGAACTTAAATGGTCATCCTTTTATGCAACCTGCTAACTGCTATTTTCGAAATGCGGCCATGAGAATATTGGTATGAAGCACCACAGACAATTTCAATGCACGGCCTTAATCAACACCATACTTGAGTTCATTACTCAGTCACTTACACCTGTATCAGGTTGCTTGATGTATTCCTTTGTTTTCGTTTCAGATCGCTTAAAATGAATGTAACAAAGAAAACAAAATTTGTCTTCAGTAGGAATTAGACCCATGACCACCTCACTCCCCAATAAATAAAGACTAAATTTCTGACCAAATTTTTCTGCTTTCATTAGCTTTTGACTCATTTTTATCACAGCAGCATAGTTCAGTCTTTTATTGAGAAACAATTTACTACCAGTCCAGTCCGTTTGTACAACAGGAAAACGTGTACTTCAGAGCTATTGCAACAATTCTCCCTTGATGTCGTGGCTTCTGAGTTGCTGCAACAATTCCCCCTTGATGTCGTGGCTTTTGAGTTGCTGCAACAATTCTCCCTTGATGTCGTGGCTTCTGAGTTGCTGCAACAATTCTCCTTTGATGTACTAGCTTCTGAGTTGCTGCAACATTTCTCCATTAATGTTGTAGCTTCTGAGTTGCTGCAACAATTCTCCATTGATGTCGTAGTTTCTGAGTTGCTGCAACAATTCTCCATTGATGTCGTAGCTTCTGAGTTGCTGCAACAATTCTCCATTAATGTCGTAGCTTCTGAGTTGCTGCAACATTCTCCATTGATGTCGTAGCTTCTGAGTTGCTACAACAATTCTCCATTAATGTCGTAGCTTTTGAGTTGCTGCAACAATTTTCCTTTGCTATCGTGGCTTTGAACTTTCTGAATTGTATTTGCAGCGTCCTGATTTTCACTTTATCAAAATGTTGTGCATAACCTTCTTTTGTGTCATACCAATATTAGTCTTTTAAGGCTTGTTATTGACTTCAATTTTCAACTGCTAAAACGTTTTAACCTTCCATCTTTACAGGAGCTGTTGATATAGAGAGCCTGCCGAGAAACGTATTAGAATACGATGTAATGTACGTGAGTGTATCATTATTAGATCTCAGTTCATCTTCATCAAGTCCTATTTAAGATACACACACGTGCATCAAAACTTTGTCTAAGAACGAATAATTAGGAAGGGTTTCATATCAACAAATTCCAGTGTTCATCTTTTCAATCAAAAACAAAACTGCATCTAATTACTGAAAACTCGTAACAGTCCAACTTCTACTTAAACTTTGTTATAAATTATTCAAAGGCTCTTCAAAACCTCGTATACCATACGCTCTAAGAAAATTATTGAAGGCTTCATTCCTTTTTGCTCATAATTATGGTACATTTTACACCAATCAAGAACAAATACTTTACACCCTTAATGAACTATATGAACTTAGATCAACTAAAACTACTTGACCAGAGAAAACTTACAATATATAACTAATTTGCTATAAAACAGTTGTAACTATTATTAAACTACTGGATATATGATAGTTTCATTTCTGATCGAATTATTTCACTACTGACATCTTGACATATTACGTTATTTTAATTCAAGCAATTTTTATGTCTATTTAAGCTAATTAACACAAGTACGACCGAAACGTTCTTAAGTGGTTTTAATTCACTCAGCTTTATATTTTATTTGAAGTATTTCACACAAACGTTATGTTTCACCAAACGGTTTTAGCTCGTACTAAACTATTCCTCTCCAGCCTTATTTACATACCTTGTTAAAACGCTTATAACCAGTTCATATGACCATTTTATAATTTATTTGATTATATATCTCTAAATATTTTTAGCCCATATTAAAGTATTCGTCTTGAGACAGCTTCAGCCATCATCAAGCTACTACTTGTCTCGAAACATCTTTAGCCCTTGTTAAATATTTGTTGTCTAGAGACGGTTTTAGCCCTTATTAAACTACTTATCTCGAGACAACTTTAACCCTTATTAACCTATGTGTACTAAGATAGATTTAACCCTTTATTAAACGTTTTGATCTAATACAAGTTTACATCTTATAAAGCTGTTCATCCCAATTAAACAGCTTCTACCCTCATTGAACCTTTTTATTTTGTACTTTCGCATTCAAAGTAGAGTTCATTCAGGGTTTTCTCGCCATGCAAGAAGGAACTGCATGTTTAACTCTTGTTCCGCCGTGTTTATGACATTATCGGGTGGATTTTATGAAGTAGTAGATTAAGTTTTATATGAAACATGAAGGTTTACGAAACTTTCAACTTTCACTAAATCGAAGGTTTATCTGAAAAATGGACAAACCACCTTATTAACTGTCACCAGTACCTCGATTAATATACATGTTTTTGTACAATTACTCAACACAGTGGTAGGTTTTCTCTTATTAGCTTTAAATGACCTTTCGAGAAAGTATCACATGTAAATATTTTCTAATCTGCAAACCTCTAACCTATGATTATTTCACACACCGGTATATCTGACTGTTCAAACATATTCAGAAATTCAATATTTGTTAAATACACAATAAAATGTTCACAATGCTAATCCTGAAATGGTTTTACTGAAACCTGTTATTGTTGTTGTCTTGCACATTGAAACTATTTTTAACGAAGGTGTTGCATAGAGTGATGTGAAATTGTTGTTAGTTTACAACAACTTATATACATTATCTATCTATCTTTATGTATGAAAACAAACAACAACAATAATCGAGATGTTTTAGCAAAGTTCATCCCACACTCATGCTTCTTTACATCAAGTATTAATTGTCTTATTACCTGAATCATTCATGTTGATCACACCTGTACCAGACTTTTGGCATACGATAACTCAAACAAATGAATCAAAGTTAACTTTAGCTCATCTTCTATAAGGATCGTATTGTAAATAAACGTATTACTTCTACATTTATTGTACTGGTAACTTTCAATAACATCACGCAATTTTAACCTTAAAAACACGAAAAACAATGAATACCAGTTACTGATAAACTGGCCACAAAGCAATACATTACAACGTATTTGGGTAATATGAGCTGGTGGTTTTATGCCCCGGCCCCCAAAGATCTATTACATTCTCTAACAAAATTGAGAATGACATTATGTGGGAGTAGTGCACCGAGTAGGTGAGCACTCCGTAAAAGAAATAAATATCCAAGTACACCAGGTCGTTAACCTCTAATAGGTCGATATCATTCTAATGTATATAAACATAAACACTAGTTTTCTGAGAAAAGATACGTCATTTAGTATAGTCACACTTACAAACACACCAGAAATGAATGATCAACAGCTTCAGTTAATCAACTGATTAAAGCAGATTTTAATGTTGGAAAAATAATTCATCAGGTAGAGATAGTTGCAAAAGGTTAAGATGTAGAACATTGTTAACCTCGTTTTTACATTTCAGGCAGCTTACTTTTTTTTTGCATTTAATAACTCTGCTAATATTTTTCAGTGAACGTCAGTTTCAAAGAGATTCTAAACTAAAAGTTCATTAGTGTAGCATTAAATAAGGGTTAATTTTTTTGATATGCAATCAAGGCAATTTTTTCTTTTAATTTTTCACTTTCCAGAAGTTTGTTTGTTTGCTCTGCCCACCACGGGTATCGAAACCCGGATTCTAGCGTTGTAAGTTTGCAGACATACCGCTGTGCCACTGTTGAGCTTCCAGAAGTTTAAGACGAATGGTCAGTGTCATGATGAAAATATATATTCTCTTCAGACCTGATAATTTTTTCTAAAATGCTACTGACGTCGCTGTAGAAGAAAACCTTGTTTAACTTGCCTTTGTTTATTCATAACTATAAGTTAATTAGTTTTATTGCCAAATTTTCAGTATCACTTCTTAACAAATCTAATTAACGTAAATACCTTTGTAACTAACCTACACATATTTATAGTGAAATGTGACTAGAAACAAGTATTTTGGATTTATAAATGCATCAGCCTTTTTTTTCTTCCCAACACCGTATTGTGTAAGATGAAACAAATGTTTAATAATGGCTGTTTGATTTAGTTTAGACACAATAGCGGCATGGTGATATTTGCACCCCGTTCAACCAAAAAATACTATTAGTACGTTATTGTTATGAATAATGAAACGTTTTGTTTGGACGTGGCATATTTCTCGTGCTTTGTATTATCCAATATAAAAATAGTCACCAATCCACAAAATTGGTTCAATTCCTGTAGCAATTTCATGTAATACATTTATTGCTCAAACACCAACTTGATATACAAGTGAGTAGTGATTGGCTGTTTGCGAAATTTCTATAGTAGTGTCTTCTTTTCAGTAGCTGAAATTTTCCTGTAAAATTTTATAAATTTTAAGCATCTATTCACTGGAAAGCAAGAAAATTCATCTATTTATCTCCTTCTATTTTCTCCATGGAAAAGACGCTGATTTCCCTTGTACTGCTTTTTAGCCTCCTCATTGCGTTCATTGAAGTTGAGTATCGATACACTGTGTGAAAAACGAGAAAACATTCTTAAAAATTTTCTGATCTTGTGAGATAGCGAATTCTATTTTTATTTTGTTATGGTTTTGTTTATCGTTAATTTATTGTTCCTTCTATCGTTTAGTTTACCTATAAATTTTCAGTTACATTTAAAACGCTAACTCACTTTCTGA